AATTAATTAGGATCAAGATATAAATGGAAAATTCCAAACCATAAAACCTCCAATAGACGTGAACGTTTGACAAATTCAGACACCATCAGGACAGAAAACAAAATATTACATACACACAAAAAGAAAAGTTCCCCGATCTTTCATATATATATATACATATATATATACATATACGTTTAGTTGAAACTGCTCATCAAGCCATCAAAATACATACTGAAGCAAATGGGAGGTTGCATAAACGTAGTAAATTAAGGTTATATTAAACAGCTGATTTGCTGAAGAGAATGATTAGAAAAATATAATAATATACATATGTGTTAAATATATATATATATATATATATATATATATATATATATATATATATATATATATATGACAGAACTTTTTTGCAAAGCCCAATACATTATTACACTATTTCTACGTTATTCAAATTCAAATACTTCGTCAGAATTGCATAGTCATACAAGTTAAATTTTTGCTGTTGTAATTTCCGGAATTATATTGAATCTAAGATGAAATTTTATGTTAGTATATAAATCAATTGAGTCTAAGGATAAAATGTAAGCTTAACTTTGTTATTTAATAGCTCATAATTTATATATCAGTACGCAAAATATTTTATTAAGTAAATAAGCGATACATAAAAAATGCATGACAGGCATAATTTTAATATTTTATGATATTTTTTAATGCGATAATTTGTAAATATATTACTTGATTTAAAACCTGAATGATTGACCAAACATGGCAGAGAAATGGCATTCTCCCGTTCTTATAATGAGTGACTTTAACGATGGGTTAGGCTGGAACGGACACTTCTTGTCGAACCAGAAATAATAGTACGTTGTAATTTCCAGTTACGATATAATAGTATATGATTCTAGCTTATTAAATTATAATCAATTCTACATCAACCAAATAATAATAATCAGAAATTAACTTTAAAATTATTATTTTTATTTTTCATGTTATTTGTAATTTATGACAATAAGACATTGTTGTATATCCTGAACGCTGGTTAAATGCAAAGCAACTCAGACAAGGTCATTTTGGCTTTGCATAAAACATTAATTTTTGTTCAGTTGAGGTTTCTGAAGAAAACAAAATAGAGTTGTTTCAAACAACGTTAAGGAAACATTTAAATAAATTAATGTATAAATAAAATGTTGATGTTATGATTGATCAATCTTTTTTACAGATACATTTTTATTTTGTTAGTTTATATTTTATTAATTACACTTCAAATTTACTATTCATAAAAATATTTGTTTTCTTCTCTAGTATTCAATTAATAATTCTGCTTTATTTTAGTAAAATATTTAATTTTAATTTTAAATAATTAAACAGAATTTATATTTTAAAAAAAAATCGTCTTAACGCGTTTATTTAATATATTAATGAATGCCCCAACAAAAAATATTTTAGTTATATTATATTATTAAAATAAATACAAAAATCTTAAAGTTATATGTGCGGGATTTAATTCAGGTGTCAATGAATGAATCCAGCCAGATGTCAGTTTTTTCTACGAGAGCTGAATGAAAGCATTCCAAGACATTTTTTTTTTTCTTGTCCATTCCTTGTATATACGTTTCCTGGATCGTGCTGAGAATTTTTATATTTCTTGATACATAATTCTTTTTTTTTATAAATATTTTTAAACTAGATTTTGTCTATTATTTTTTATTTTTGTTATTGTTTACGATTCGGTGGTATTTAGTCAATTGTTTATTTAGTTGGAAATCTTAAGTATCTTATATTTCGTGATTAAGTTCAATTTTTCAAGATAACTATCTTCCTTCAATAGATTTCATCGATTTTAATTACCTATATTGGATATAATTACCTATATTAATTAAACGTACATTTATTTACACATCATGAAACGATATTCGGAGCCAGTTTTTTTATTTTCCATCTCTTACTAATATGTCCAAATTAAATTAATTTTTTTTTTATCGTAATTTATATGTGCGAATTTACAGTATTAAATGAAGACATATGAAGTATGTCTGGAATTAATACAGGGTGTTTCAGGGTTAAGTGGCCATACTGCAAAAATAAACTAAGGACCTCAAAACAAGAAAAAAATTCCCTCTGAAGGTATGTTCGCAAAAGCTTTGTTTAGGAGATCTTCACACCTAAAGATTTACGTTATATGAAATAAATAAAACCTATTTATTCGTTCTAATTACTTTATTAATTAAATGTAAACATTAACATTCATATTAAATGTTGTCCAAGTGATTTCCTTGAACGCTGAAACATGCTCGGCATCTTTCTTCAACAACAGCAGTGGCAGAACAGCACTGGATTTGTGTTATTTTTTCACAAAATTCAATTATCCTTCTTTGTGAGAAATTAAGGTCATTGACCAGACTTGCATAGATTTTTTGTTAGGTCTGGAGAGCGTGCAGACCAAGCCACTGGTCCTGCACGGCCAATCCATTGGTTGGGATATGGGATATGACTGAGCAAGTCCGGTCAATGACCTTAATTCCTTACGAAGAAGGATAATTGAATCTTGTGAAACAATAACACCGTTGTGCCTCTAATACTTCTCAATAGTTTAGAGAGCACTTATGCGTCTTTTCTTGTTTATTTTTATCTTATCTTTTCTTGTGCTGACGATGGCTCAATTGTTGATGGATTAGTTATTTAAAACCTTGTATGAATTTATTAACGCATAATAATTTTTTTTATAATAGGAATGATCCATAAAATATTTATATGAAAATCAAACCACCTCTTAGTTATTATATTTATTCATTTTACGAATAATATAAGTTATTGTCCCTTTTTTTCTGTTTTATCAATACTACTAACTAAAGGATCGTATCGAACTCTAGTTATGGAATATGGGCCATCAATCCTTAGAACCTGCACATTATTGACCCACTTGCACGAGCTCTCATCTTCCTCCCATCAATATACCACTACCAGTACTTCCACATAGCTGAGGAATCGAATGAAGAAAACGCAAGGAGCTATTCCCGATGGCCCAGGGTCGACCAGAACGAGCGCCTATTACAAGGACATTAGAGTTGGAAGCCGCTTGAGCACGTCATTTATTTGATTATTCTGTTATTGACCGTGCATTTCCTCGACTAGTAGAAACTATTTGAATTTATTTATTTGAATTTAAATCACCAATATTATTACAAAAAAGGCGTTGAATACTCATTAAATAAAATCTTATCGTTAAAGAAAAAATTGTTATTTCGTATCATTCACTGGATTCATGAAGTACAGTTATTTTTTTAAAAAATATATTTTTATATGCAGATATTCTTTGCGATAAATGAATTGTAGAAGAAGCTGAAGAGTTCATGTAATAAGTATAATTTCGTTGTATACCAACGTTTCGTCCTAAATTTTAGGCTTGCCTGAGATGTTCACAAAGATTCATATATTCCGAATTTAAATGTCTCTAACTTACTTATGTACTCCTCTCAGACGAACCTAGCCGATCGGAAGAAGGTGTAAAACTAATAAGGAGTTTTATATCTTTATGTGCAGTTTTTTTTTTTTTTTTTTTTTTTTTTTTTTTATCAACACACTACAAATCTGTAAACTTTTTCTATTGATGAGGTACTAAAAACTCATTAATACCTAATTGCGTTCCACCTGAATTGCAAGATAATTTCATCACAATATCGAGAAAAAAGTGAAAAAAAAAACAAAAGCTGTGTGCTTTAGACCAGACGATAGAAGTGAAAACATCAACAACTAAGGTTAATAATATAAAAAATATTAATTATAAATAATATCTCATTATAAAGAGTATGAAATACTGAACATTTTCCTCGCTTACAGTATGCAGGTCCGATTTTTAGATTCTGAGATATTTTAATCTATATCCATAAAACTCGTTACCATTTAGCTTTCGACACTATTTTTCCCTTTTCGCCTCTCTAACACGGCATCGTGTAAAGATTTTTTTTTTTTTTTATTAATATCTCTTAATGATATTTACAACTGTATTGAGTAAATACATCTAGTAAATTTGAACATAATGGATATAATGACATGAAAACACTTGCTGAGTAACTACCCAATGGTAGCTAATGATATGTCTACATTAGGAGATCACGGGGCCATCTTTTTTTCAGACGCCTAGGAGGGTTATCAGGAATTGAATAGGAAGCAAGGTTAGAAACGAGAGAGTTGGGATGATTCTGAAGTTTATCATGGAAGGATAGGTATCTGGATTGGGCCATATCTGAAACAAAAGAAACATTAAGGTTATTATGGATGGTTTTATTTGTAACAAAGTAGGGAGCATTGAGGATTTTGGATTGTAAGGATTGGATACGAGAGGAATTCAATGGTTTAGTGGAACCCCATAGCTCAACACCGTAAGTACAAATAGGCCTTATTATAATCAAGTACATGAGTCTTTTGTAATTACTTGGAAGTTTAGAGCGCTTGTCTAGTAAGTGCTGGAGTAATCGGAAACGTCGAGCGGTTTCGTGTCGTTTTAGTCTAGAATGTCGTGTAAAGATAAAATTTTGATTAATATCTCTTGAAAATGAGGATGAAGTGATGAATATTTCACTTGCTAACAATGCGCAGGTCCGATTTTTAGTTTTTGAGATATTTTAATCCGTTTGAAAAAACACCAGTTAGTCGATTATAGCCGACTTTAAACGAGCATTACACTTCAGAAACTATTGGGTAACAATTAAAAATAACCAGGTTATATAGGCCAAACAGAAAAAATAGACCAAAACGTTTGGAGACTCCTTCCGAAAATTCCTCTAATTTACAAACTTCAATTTTCCTCGACTTCATTTGGACCACACAACTATATTCTGTCTCACTTCTATACACAGCCCCATACGATCCTAATAACGGTACATAAATGTCATTACCTCGAAGGATATGGTTTTAAGAACTCCTGCTGCGGCTGTCCAGGACCATCAATAAAGCGGGAACGAAGGAGCAATAAATCTTAGCCTGGCTCGACCGTGCCTATTAACGCCTCACTGCTGGTAATGAGCCACGCTGCGGGGGTTCGAGTACGTCGTGGGAGGAACCGAGTCTTCGTGCGCCAGGAAGATGACAAGAGGTTGAAGGCACGCCCTAGGCTCAGAACGGTCTAGGAAACGATTAACTTAAAGAGCAAATATTAGAAAAAAAAACTTAATGGATATTTTGTAATCAAATCTATCTACTCAGTCTTTGAATACGTGGGCACGATAATTAATAAAGTTAATATAAACAAAAAATTCTACTATAGTACGTTCTTGGACTTATATTCTGCTTTATTAATTAATTACTTATTAATTTTGCTTCATTTTATTGTAACATATAATTTTGATTCAATTGATTCATGAGATGATTTGATAGCAAAATCCAGACAAAAAGGTTACCTATAAAAATATATGTCCGTTTAGCCTTCGTTATTTTGATTTGTTTGGGGTGGGTGTCACGCCAAATGGCACAATATATTTGTAGGCCACATTTTTTTTTCACAATTTTGTGATAAATCTATTTTATTTTATTCGGATGAAAAATAAATGGGCTTTAATCAGTCTTTAGCGTCTTATTAAATTGACAAAGCCTATCGATTTTCAGGTTGAGAATTTCCATTTCCGAAAATTAAGAAGTTTCCCATAGATCCGCCAGTGTTACTATATATAATGCTATCAATAATAGGGTGGTGTGGATAATAGGGTAAGACTTTCGATTTTGATTGGGAGGGAGGAGAAAGCGATAGACCATACAAAAAAAAAATGATGGATTTTTAATTTTAAATATTGAAACGTGTCTATAACTGGTTCTGCATTAAATAGTCGTTTTTCTCTGCTAGTGCTTTTATTTGTTGGTTAAATGAGCCCACACGTTCAGACAGGAATGACAGTTTCAAGACTGTCAAAAATCACTTCATTCTTAATAGAATTAAGAATTATCTGATTTTGTCACTGACGTCACTTATGCTCTGTTGACGTTTGGTGGAACTATAACTTCTTCCTAATGACCGAAAACCATTTAAAAAATTAGAAAACAATATAAGCTCAACTATTTAAAACAACAAAGGTAAAATACTGCTTATATATTTATGTGAATACGAAAAGATTACTATTTTGAAAATTAAATTATGTTAAATTTAATTTAATATTTTGTTAATTTATGTTTCCTATTCGGCCAAATCCAGATACCTATACTTCCATAATAAACTTCAGAATCATCCTACCCCTCTTGTTTCTAACCTTACTTCCTCTTCGATCTTCGATAACCCATTGTGAAAAGAAGACAGCTACGTGATCTCTTAATTTAAATATTATTCGAGTGCTTCCCGTGGATAGTATCTTCATGTCATCATTTACATTTTTTCACATTTACTAAATTTATTTTCACATTAATACAGTTGTAAATATCCTGACTAAAATAAAAAAGATATTTTGTAAATTATTATAAAAAAATTACCAGGTATTTGAAGGATTTTAAGGGTCCAACGATTAAAATTTGTGGCATTAGAACACGTTCATCATACTACTTTTTATAGTCATAAAAAAAAAATTATAATAATAATTAATATACTCAAATAATATATTTTATTTCAATATCTTAATATATTTGTAACTGTCAGAAAGAAAAATTTTAATTGATTAAATCATATAATAGGAGCAAATAAATCAAAGCAAAATGAGAAATTATTACAAAAAAATAAACAAAAGCATAGCATGTAAATCATTTGTATATATTATGTAAAACAGCGATACTAGAATTGAACCCTGCGGAACTCCGACACCATTTATGGCTCCAAATATTTACGATTAAGACCGCTAAAACACGTTTTGCCTTACATGATTTTGCAATTTATACTTTCCATAAACTATATCTCATATGAATGATAATGTATTTGATAGAATATTAGGTACATTTCTCGAAAAGGTGATAGGATAATATTTTTTTTTGTATTTACAAAGACTAATATTTCACAGCAATCACACTACCTTTTCCTACACTACCGAGGCCTTTCCTTACCTAAGACATAATATACCGTGGTGGCCCATCCATAACTCACATTTTTCTCACCTCTCAAATCTCTGCCATTTCATTCTATAATATAGTCTTATTGCTTCATCCTGTTTATAGCTGTTGTTTATTCTCATATATATAAATGCCATTTATAATGTTAGTAACCTGTGGTATTTCATAACCGTTTTTATTTATACTTAAACATTTTCGGAAAATAAAACTTGACATAAAATATATATATATACAGACAGGATAAGTAAATAGTAGTATAACTGTATTTCGAACATTATAAACTCAAGGGCGTAGGTTGTTAAATGTTTTCCCGATTGAAACAGCCTTAAGTTAGAGGAAATTATAGCCTTCGGATAGCGGCTACTGACAAGGATGATCAGGCAACTACACGTTTATATATTTATGGAATATTTCAAGGAAATATTGACACACCAGAGGCCACTCTTCGAATGGAAACGACAACGCAAAATGTGCAAAGCTACAACAAGCGACATTGAGATACACGTTTTATAGCCGGTTTTTGGTCCATATTCATAAGTGTAGCTTATACATAGTAATATACAACTAGCTGACCAGTCATTAACTATAAAACATATTTTGGAAGAGTGCCCTTTTTACATGGCAAAGTTAAGGGGACCCTACACGGTCAATCGGAATTGCACTAATGACGTTCCGAATTGTCGTGTAAGGTAGTGAATGAAGTACTGATGGTGGTGCGCTGCGGATTTCCGAACATCCGGAAATCAAAGGTTCATTCTCGAGAAGTGGAGGGGGGACTGAGGTAAAAGTAGTGGGGAGACTAACCTTACTACTGGATAGGTTAGTTTACCTAGGTCTCGTTATTAAGTAAATAATTTCATAAAAGTAAATAGTTGTTTATACCCCTAGTCTATATTATTATTAACCATTTTCAACTATTTTTTCTTTAAATAGTCAAGTAGGCAATAAATTGGAGAGAAAAAAAAGTGGAAACTTCACATAAGTAATGATCAGTAATGATTGAACGTGTAAGGGTCTTCATGAACAAAGCGATAGCGGGCAATCTTGGAACTTCTTGTGATGTTCATTCATGAATTACCGTGTAGGGTCTGCTTTAAAAGATCACGAAATACCCTAGAATATATCAGCATCCCTGAGAATTCAAGAAAAAATCCTTACCATCGTTATAAAGTTCCTAGACAATGAAAAAATTATAAAACATATATAACAAGTTTATAACTAATGAACCTTTGCAGATTTTTTTTTAATTTAAAAAATACATTGATTTATTAATTTCAATTAAATTCTTTTTATCTAGTCTGTCTCATTATCTATGAGTGTCTATTATTATAATTATTTATTTATTTTATTCTATTAATTCTTTTATTTTTATTTATTTATTTTTTGTAACAGTCATCTGAAAAGTAGTGTTATTTAGTTGATCGGGCGCTGATGACCTGGATATTTTGAACCTAGACATCGAAAAAAACAAACAACTAGCAGGCCCGTGTGAATAATTCGTATAAAATATTAGTCAGTAAACAGCTGATAGAATATTATATTCGAAATATGTTACTAAAACAGTTTATTATGATTTGGAAGAATTCATTTTCCTCTTCTTGGTCGAATTAAAATTATTAATTCATAAATAAATCAAAACATTTGCACAATTTACTGTAGTCTACATCTTTGCTCATAATGGTCCTATTTCGATATATTTTTTTTATTGAATATTTAATAGTCGACCGTTGCATTATAAAGGAAGGAGATCTTCTGGGGTGGCGGTCATAAATAGGCTAAATAGTTCAAAACTATTTCATTAAAAGCACTATTTTCGATCCGAATTTGCAGATCTTTTTCAGGAAGGTGTGTTCAGCTAGGGGTTTCACTTAGAACTGCTGTTCTAATAAACGTTGAATTTTAATAAAATAGTTTTGCCACTATTTAGCCTATTTATGACCGCCACCCCGGACCATCTTCTTTTTTTTTTTTTTTTTTTTTTTGTAGGATATTTTGTAGTCTTTTAATTATTCATGGAGTTAATCAACCGTAAATTTTATACTTTTCCTGTCATGGCTAAATTAAGTTTGTTTTTCTGAGATGTTAGGGGTCGATGTGTTTAGACAATATTTAAAATGATGGTCAGATTATTGGAACTAACGAAGATAAAGCGAAATTTTACAACAAATCAAAACAATTTGAGGCCATTTAAATTTTCAAAAACAAATTTCTTCGATCGACCATTGAGTATTATATTTTAACATAATTATTTAAATTGCGAATGACCAGTAGCGCTGCTGAGTGGAGGGCGCTGTGATCTCCTAAAGTTTTGCCTTTCCTTCCATGAGTGGGGAGAAAGGGTTGGCTCGAAGATTTTGAGTGAATGATTTTTTTTTATATATTGTATAGAAGAGTGTATTTATTTGGGTAGTTCATTAGCTTAATTTCTTTTTGTTTAATTTATATACATTTAAAATCAATTTTTTTAATATAATTTAAGGCAAAATAGTTACTAATGCTTGACAATTTTAGTTACTATATGTAAAGAATTATATACTAAAAAAAAAATAAAAATAAAGCGATGATTTATTGTCGTCATTCTTACTGAAAATTCAGATACTTTGATAACTTATTTTGTAATAAATCCTGAATCAAATCAATATAGACTTAAAGCTCATTCAACAAGGAAGTTTTTCTCAAAGTGGGATTTCTTTAGTATAGTTGGATGGTGATAAGAAGAATTCTCAAATAATTCATGATGTTCTTTAAAACAGTTTAGTTTAGCCACTCAAAAATCCTCTTAGAATGGTTTTACTAATGACAAACTCAACTTTCATTTGAAGTAATTTTTTTCTAATTTACTGTGACTCAATTGGTAATTATTTAATTGAATACTTAATTTAGTTGACCGTTGTATTATTAAGGAGATGGTCCGAGGTGGCGGTCATAAATAGGCTAAACAGTGGCAAAACTATTTTATTAAAAGCCAACCTTTCGACCCGACTTTGCAGGTCTTCTTCAAGGAGATGTGTTCAGCTAGAAACATTGGCTTTTAATAAAATAGTTTTGCCACTATTTAGCCTATTTATGATCGCCCCCCCGGACCATCTCCTTCCTTTATAATGCAACGGTCAACTATTAAGTATTCAATTAAATAATTACCAATTGAGTCACAGTAAATTAGAAAAAAATTACTTCAAATGAAAGTTGAGTTTGTCATTAGTAAAACCATTCTAAGAGGATTTTTGAGTGGCTAAACTAAACTGTTTTAAAGAACATCATGAATTATTCGAGAATTCTTCTTATCACCATCCAACTATACTACAGAAATCCTACTTTGAGAAAAACATGCTTGTTGAATCAGCTTTAAGTCTATATTGATTTAATTCAGGATTTATTACGAAATAAGTTATCAAAGTATCTGAATTTTCAGTAAAAATGACTACAATAAATTATCGCTTTATTTTTTTTTTTTTAGTATATTGGCTATACTAATTCTTTACATATAGTAACTAAAATTGTCAAGCATTAGTAACTATTAAATGCAACGGTCAACTATTAAATATTCAATTATATACATTTACTTTTAGTATTATTTTATATTATTTATTTTTATTTTAGTTGTTTGGCAATAATTATTTATTGAGAATGGAGTGCGAATCTGCTCTTTGAACACTATTATAAATGTCCTTAATTGTGACAGATTGTAATATCTATCAATAAGTTTGTTAAAAAAAATGTAAAATGTCGAATGATGTTGGCATGGAGTGGTCGTTCACTCAGGAGTAACTGTGCATGCTCGTAAAGTTTCATCTTCTACACTAACGAGAACAGCATATCTTCAAAAATATCAGGTTCTGAATATGGCTGTCCTAAATTTCACTTTTTAAAATATAAATTAAAAAGTAATCAGCATTCGAGAGTGAAAACTGAGATTTAATTTACTAGCCTCGTGCAATCCGCCCGCGTTTATAACATCTGACCCCTCCCACCTCACGTAAGGTTCTGATATTTAGTGTTTATAATTCGCCCGGATGAAAACCCAAGACAGTCCCAGTTGTTGAAACTATTGCGCAAGATCCAAGATACTGGAGTATATTTCATAGGGCCAATATAACCGCAGTTCCCACGGACATTATGCAACTTGTAATGTTGAAGCTGGGTCCTTCCTCAAGTTGGGTGAAAGGCGACGTGCAAGACATCTCCGCAGTGTGGGCAAGCTTGTGCAAGCGACATTAACGGAACGTCGCCTCGCCGGTAATTGGGCTCGGGTTCGATTCCCAGTTCTACAAGCCATGAATAAACAAATTTATTCGCCTATTCCTTGTATTTTTCATGGTACGGCTACTTAGAAATAGTTTCATAAATATTAAGCTTATAGTATTTAAATAATGAAGAACTTGTTATGTACACTTTTCGTGAGTGACTATGCAAACTTTTATGCGTCTTATTCTCTATATTTGGTGTCATCGGGTAAATAAATACAGACCTACCTAAGGAGGCAGCAGATTTTATTTTATTTTATTTTTATTGAACAATAAATTCATTGCAAAAAAAATACTGAAATTCACCTTTAATCAGAAGTTTTTTTTTTTTTTTTTTATAGACAATCTTCACTTTGTGAATTTTATAATTGATCGTCCCTTAAGAATAACAATTACGATACAAAAATAAAAACCACATCTGGACAAAAATTACATTAATCAAAATTAAAGAATATATACAATATCTTCAGTGAAAGTATATTAAAACAAATAAAAAAGTAATAACATTTTGAAAAAAACAAACATTATCTAAATGAAAATCAGGTAAAATAAAAAACAAAATGTTAGAAGCACTATGGGTCGATTCTTTTTTTTTTTTTTATTTTGATATTTACAACTATATTAGTATAAATACATCAAATGTGTTCAGAGGAATATAATCACACTTGTTGAGAAACTACCTATTGGTAGTACTCTAATAATATGTCTACATGAGGAGGTCACGAGGCCATCTACTTTTCAGACGCCTCGGAGGATTATCAGGAATCGAAGAGGAAGCAAGGCAAGAAACAAGAGGATTCGGATGGTTATGAAGTTTATTATGGAAGGATAGGTATCTGGATTGGGCCAAATCGGAAACATATGGAACATTAATGTTTTTATGGATTATTATATTTCTGACAAAGGAACATTGAGGATTTTGGATTATAAGGATTGGATAGGAGAGGAATTTGATGGTTTAGTGGAGCCTCATAGCTCATGGTCGATTCTTAAAATTAAAACTCAAATAATTTCATCAACCATTCACCTTAGTCATAATTTTACTCATAATATTTATTTCATTGTTCAATGTCATTTTGGGATGTGAGAAGAGATTGGTAGAGATGATATTTAAATGAGGACAAGGAAGAGGCATGGCGAATATCAGATGGCAAGGAATTCTAGAAAGCAGTGGATTGGGCAATAAAGGAATATTTAAATATCTTAGTTCTATTGTAACTCCCAACTATCCCCCATCCCTTCTCCTCCCCGAACGTATTTTTTTATTTACTTCATGTGTTAATTGAAATTCTCCATTTTAAATTTATATTTAATTTATTTTTGAAGACCTACGCTTTACAAATATATGGAACAGCCAAAACGACCGACATACGAAAACTACAAACTTTTCAATCAAAAACTTTCAGGACTGTTAATATATAAAGCTATACGATACGTCACATGTCGACAGTTAATGACCACATACAATACAAAAGATTTCATGATAACATAAATGGTCATAAAAGATATGGCTATGATTAACATGCCCAAAAAACACTTAAGGGACTCAAAACAAGCTGGATAAGTGATTTCCTTGCTTAAAAAACTTACTAAAATCATGAGAGGAAGAGATGCCGCTGGGCTGGAGCTACTCTACCTCGCGTCGATCAATTAGCTTACTAATTATTAAATTATTCATTAGAAATAATAATTAATGATCATACACAGAGTAATGATGATGAAACAATCCATCTTAATTTGAAGTGAAATGTTTTTTTATTTATAAATGAATATGCATATGGTTTTTAGGAGTTCCGTACTTCATTTTTTATATGCTTTAAAAATCTGACTGACGCTTAAATGGTACGCCACATCGTAAAATCTTGATACGCCACTGTTTGCCAAAGTAACAAAACTGTAACTATATGTTATTGAGATTCAGCAAAGTATTGCTTCAACTATTTTATTAGCAAAAATTCTTGTAATAGGGGCGTTTTCAATCTGAAGATCGTCAAACTTTGTCTATTTTATTAGGTACTAAAACCCATTAATAACCATTTGCTTTCCGCTTGAATCGTAAGATAATATCATGACAAAATTCTTCATAATACCGTTATTTTGACATTTTAGGGGTGGAGGTCATGCTCAACGGCTCAATATCTTGGTAGGCCACCATTTTTGTAGATTTTGTGCTTCAGATTGAAAACGCCCTAGAATTTTCGCAAATAAAGTATTTGTAGATTACGATTAAGTGAAGCTATTTATGGAGTTTCAGGCGGATGTTAATAATTTGATCAAAAGGGGCCTTCTGTATCACGGTCTATTTTGAGTGCTTCATCTTTAATAATAATAATAATAATAATAAGGCTTAGCGAACCCGAAGGTTCGATGCCGACACCACCAATCGCTTGTTACACACCTCCCTCCACCGTTCGCCGTCCAAACCCAGTCCCTTCAGATCGGCTTTAATGCAATCTTCCCACCTTCGCTTCGGTCTACCCCTCGGACGCTTACCATTCGGCACAGCAAATATTAACCTTTTAGGAATTCTCTCGTTACTAAGCCCAACAACTTTACAAGCCCATTTGATTCGCCGCGATGAAATTACCTCAATTATATTACCCGGATACAGCTCACGCAATTCAGCGTTGTGTAACCGTCTGAACTCTCCGGTTAACTCATCCTTCTTCGGTCCGAATATTCTACGCTTCATCTTTAATTATCGAAATTTAATTATTTAAATAATGTTATTACTATACTGTACAAAAAAAAAAAAATTATATCTATAGTTCGACGACTCGTTAATTGCAATGCTTTAAGAACCCTACACGTAGCTTAAACCTAACACCAAACGTGCCCTTCCCACACATACCTCACTTAAAAAAAAATTAGCCTCACCCGACAAGTGACAGGTTTATTGGACTCAGATGTAGCCCGAAGAAGACATAACTTCGGTAGCGACACCCGAGACCCTTCGGCAGAAAATTGGGCAGATGTCGGGTGACCACAAATCAAACGCCTAAGGCCAACTGGCCTCTATGTGTCCGCTCTCGCGCGTCGTTTGTCTCGGTTCGAGCATCGCCTTATTTGTAGGCTTTGCGCAATGCTATTTGATTACAGCCATTGGTCACCTGTTGTACATGAGCGTGCTAATGTCGTAAATCGGAGGCTTGCCAATGAAACCGGGCAATTTGTTTTAACTATAACATAGGATAACATTGCTAGTGATATATATAACATGCTAATGATTTTTTTATCGTGTTATATAGGTGTTAAAAAAAAAAATTAAACTTATTGGTATAAGATGCTATGCATATATTAAAATAACTTGTCAATACTTCTATTTATAGTTTTTTTTTTTGTTTTACGGTTTGCACATTGGCCTAATCGTAAAATTTCACTATGAAAATGAGCTTACTACAGGGACCACATTATATACATATATAATAGGTATGGGACATGGAAATCCTTAGATAAACTCGTCTTTTATATTCTTGCTATAAGAACAAACTTTTTTAAATAATTTTTTTTTTTGTTTATTTAATGAAATTTACAACTGTATACAAATACAACTAGTAAATATGCGCAAATTATAAATAATGACATGTACAGGCTTGAAGAGTTACTACTCAGTGGTAGCACTCTCTAAATAATTTTAAGTAAGAAGATCACGAGACCATCTCCTTTTTAGACGCCTAGGAGGATTATCAAGGATCGAGGAAGAAGCAAGAGTGGAAACAAGTGGATTTGAATGGGACTGAAGTTTATCATGAAAGGATAAATATCTGGCTCGAGCTAAATCAGCGACAAATAGTACATAAAGGTCTTTATGAATGGTTTTATTTGTGACAAAGTATGGAGCATTAAGGATTTTATGGAGGATTTTGGATTTTAAGGATTGGATACGATAGGAATTTTGGTTAGGGTTTGGTGGAGCCCCAAAGCTCATTTTTAAATAATAATTTTATTTTTTTTAGATTATAGAATACTTGTTTTTTGATAAATATTACAATCTCTCTCATTAAAGGACACTTATAATAGAGTTCAGAGACCACATTCACACCACATTTACAAAATAAAAATAAAAAGGTAATTTCAAAATAATATACAGCGAAGTAAGAACAAAATAAAATATCATAATGAGGGAAGACAATATAAATAATTGTAATAATACACTAAAAATAAAGAAATAAAATATAATTAAAGCGTTCTCAATAAAAGTAATAAAAATAAACATCTCAGACGTGGGCTAAATAATAATAAAATAAATTTATAAAATATAAAAATCATATATATTTTTTTTTACTCTTTTGACATCCGCCATTTGTCTTCTCGCAGCATTCGGGCTGTTCTAGGGCATAAGCTGTAATCGTTTGGTTTTATTCTTAAATAGACGATATCCAGGGATCACGTGGTTTATAATAAGCGGACGCGACCACAATCACTCCCTCTTCATCAAGATGGTTGGCGACCTTTTGCAGACGTCTTTATCCTGTTTTTTACGGGATAGGGTTATTAGGTCTATGCCCAACCCCCAAATCTGGAATACCAAATATAATATTCGTTTTAGCCTTTAGTTGTATTAATAAATCGTGTTAATTTAAAATGTATAATTTTTATAGAAATATACATAATTAGGAAAAAATAATGATGATTGAAATTGACTTAATATACCTGCATGAGGGTAAGATTACGCTGTATTTTGTATAAAAGTAGAATATTATTATTTATAACTAATTTAAAAAAAATAATGCGGTAGAAGAGTATTTTCGTTTCAAGTTAATCTAGTGTTGCACTTTGCCAGTCCGAAACTGGTATAAAAAATCGTTTTTGTGAATAAAAATTAAGACAAATTAGTTAATAATACTTATCAGTTTTAATTACTATTTGTAAAGAATTGGTATAACCAATATACTTTTGCATTTAACTCTTCCAATTTTTCATTCGGGCTTAGTTAGGTTTCCCCTATAAGGCCAAGACCAAGATTGAGACTGAGTGCTCAAGACCAAGACTCGTCTTGGTCTCGCATTCGGGCAACACTAAGTTTAACATTTTTTATTTATTTAAAATTAGTTTAGTTTAGGATAGGAACTAGAAAAAAAATTAAAATAAAAAACTTTCATGTTATTCATACCATGAAAAGTATGCTACCATTCGCTTCAATATGATAAATTAAGGCATGGTCCTTATTAATATTATCATACGTAATATCTGGGTGAAAAATCCATGTCAAGAGAATCGAACGTTTCGACCCACTGTGCTTAAGGGGAAGAAATTTAATGGAAAATAAAAACAGTTAAGTATTTTTTAAAATAAATTAGGGCGATTATTTGTTTAAGGTCGTGTTCCTAATTAATGTTGTTGCCGTTTGATATATCCCGTACCCTTCACCTGTTTGTTCTTCCCGCTCTCCGGTTCTTCCAGGACGACCATTCTTCTTTCGCGATCAGCCGACGTCTGCGGAGATGTTGAAACGTGACTCGGTTGAAGCTTATGCAAGTATGCAGCACTTTTTACTCCAGCCAAGGGTAAGCAAGAATAATTGGGCCGACTCTGCAGTTTATTTTCCCTTCTAATCAGTACTAATTAATAAGTTTTTTTTTTATATAATGACTCGATTTACAGAATTTCCATTTCGGGAAATAAAGTAAAGTCCTTGATGAATTAATTCGAACTGTATATTTGAATGTTTTCACAACTATAATACTGTTCGTTACTAAGATTTATAGTCTCTGTACAGTTCCGGATCGGCTTGCTTTAGAAGCTGCAATTTAGTACGTGCCTCACATGAACTATTTTCTTTCATGTAATATTTCATACTTATTAATTTTTTATATGAAAAAATATATAAATTCTTTCCTAGATTTTTATAAATATAATTAAGTTCAAATTAAATAAATCTTACTTATAATTAATAAATATAAGTCTTATCTTTGAACTCCTTATAAGGATATCAGGTGACATTCTATATTAAAAAAAAATATCCTGCAGATTATAGCATTATGATTTAACATTTCCATAGATTCTAATGTTTTCTTTTAATATTTTTTTTTTTAGTTATTCATTAAATTTCTATCTAGAATTTTTAGTAGATAATAGGAAAATATTTACGAAAATCAAAACGCCATATATCAGCAAAAACAATTCAATTTCACATTTTATTTTATTTTCATCATTATTTTTATTTTGGAGGTGGGGAGATCACATGGCTTCTCGATACTCAACTGTCTGACTTAATGTATTTTTAAATCAACGGCTTTCGAATGGTAAATAAAGTTTATTTCACTTGAAATTACAAAATCGTTCGCAATTTACATTTAAAACTTCTACTGCTAAGAGTGAACTATAATAATATGAAATTTTTTGAACTTTAAAAAAAAATATTGTCGCTTTTATTTCAAAACATCACTAAGTACATTTTTGATGGATCTGAACTTTTAAGAACGTTTTTGTGATTTATTGCTAAACGATAAATGTAACCGCACAAAACCTTGTATGTATCAAACATAAATTACAACAAGCCTACAATTTTCTTATTTTACAAAGGTGCACTTCTTGAAATTCCTTAGTGATTTTAGGTTATGAATGAATTTAATTATATTGTTTTGCAATAAATCTAGGATCTACTCATTTTCCTGCTGCATATATGTTATATACTATAATAATTTAATAATAGATTTAAATAGCTTCAAATATAAGACTTTAGAAAAAGTCCATTGAATTCGTTATCGCAAAAACGCAGGGTTTTTTTGTGTGCTACTTAAAAACGAAATGACGGATAGTCCTAAGTTTCTAGATTCATGCTATGTTATTTTCGTTACGATTTTTCAATGACGAATTAATCTTAGAATATAGAATAATTCATGAAGTCTTCGATAACATCAAAGATTAGACCATCTTTGATAATCTTTTTCATTAGGGACAGCATTAAGGTTGCAGTGCTAATAGAGGCTGCTACAATTTTTTATATCTTACATTTGCTATTTTTATATATTACTAAATACACCCACCCACATACATATAATTACACATAAATTAATTCTAGAGCTAGATTAATTAATATCGCCAAAAAACCGTTTGGGGGCCGAGAATGGCGGCCACATGCGGTCTAGAGATCCATCGGATACAGTTCGAAATCGCAAAAAAAAATCCTATGAGGTCTTTTTAAAAATATGCAAAAATTTAACCATTATGTTATTGTTCTCGTGGTTTCCAAACATTATTATAACAATGTAATACTATACTGAAAGTGAACTAATAACTAAGCATATATTCGCTTCTATTTACAAACGTGACTAAACGATGACAGTATACTGAGAGGAAGGATATGTCAGAAGGAAGCATTATATGCAAATTCAAAACTTATAATTGTTAATTAGTTAATGTAAAACCGTGTCCTGTATTTATAATGTTCCGTTTAGATTGGGCTATATATCATTTACGCAGTCTGTTAAACATTTATTTTTTTTTTTTAATGTTGAGAAAAAATGTTCATCCGTTCCGTCTGAAACTAAAGCGGCATAATCCATATTTGAATCAGACACGGCTTCAGAAAATCCTACAAACTAAGAGCTTTTGATAAACGCAATGACAGTCTTAAAGCCCTGGCCTGAATTTTCATAAGAGTAGTTTTAAATCCGTGAAAAATTCAATGCTTTCTGGAATTATTTACAACCGTGCGAAAGCTGAAATCTAATGTTAGCAATGAGAGCGAAGCGACGTAACCTTAAGAGCGTCTGCTTTAATTTAGTAGAGTGTCAACTGAAGCAAGTAACTTTCTGACATACTTGAGACTGTCAGAAATAAATTTAAAATTTTATAATTTATTTAACAGGAATAACATTTTTATATAAGATATAGTAGCAGTATATATGTAGAAAGTTTAAGCTTGGAATGAATATTATAGTAATACAGTTGAATATCTGTAGCAAACATATTTCATAAATTTAATTTATACTAAATTAAACAAAAAGTGAATGTCAAACCTCTGTTCCTTGGAATTGTCGTGGAATATATATATAATAAATATGTTATATACTGTAATAAATTTAAATGGCTAAGTTTCTAGTACTTCATTTTTCAATTAAGAATTAAGACTTAAAATATAGAATAATTCATAAAGTCTTGGAGATTACTCTAACCATTACGCCTATAAGTATAGACCTACTCCATAAAGTTTAAAATTGAAAAAAAAGTAGGAAAATATTAATAGAAAATCGACATTATTATAAAAATCTTAAAAATATAGAGACAGTATAAAATAAAAAAAAAATTTTTTCATCTAAATTCAAAACATGAAATTACATACATAGAAAATAAATTAAAATGTTACACATAAGATTAAATTTTCATTTTATCATGAATTATTTTCTACTACAATTTCTAGAAATTTACAATTTGTTTTCGTATATTATACAACCATCATATAGTTTTAGTTAAGGTACCTTTTTTCATTTTTATATTTTTTAATTTAAAATATTTTCTAGTTTAAATATGTTATATAAACGGTAATTTTTAACTGTATTAAAAAAAAATCCATTTTTTATTGTAAATTACTTTTTTTTAATGGACTATTATTGTTTAACTTCATACAATGATTTTTTTTCTTTTACTAATGAACATTTTATTTCACCATACTACCTCCTTTTATAAATATTTAAAACTATACTTTGTGTTTTCATTTCATTATTATTTATATTTAGTATCATGAATCATTTAACCACGAATAATCCGTTATTTTTTTCATACTACTTGGTTATTTTTATAAGACTTTGTTCTACAATTGTATGTATTTCCTCTTTTATTCTCAAATAGTCGATCGATGGTTTACGTTTACTTTAACGCAACAATTATAGAAAATCAGATAACGTGATTCTCGACTTACTCATCCAAGCTAAGATAAAGTGTAGTAAACAGCCCCAATCCTGTTTAAGCTTGGATACATATAGTGTAGGTGATAAACTTCATCAATATATAAATACATATTTAAATATATATTAATCTATTTTAAAAATACAGGAACAAGGAAAGAAAAATTAGTACACTTAACTGTAAATAATTAATTAACACCAAAGGTTTGCCAGACTGTCGCCAGTAACGGTAAGCAATATGGAAGTAACATAATAACTATTTAAAAAATTCAAATAAATCGGTGGAGAGATATTAAAAAAAACGAAAAGAAACCGTATCGAAAACTGTCCGACACACCTGAACTTTACTACAGCCTGTAATTAAATTCATCAATGACTATAATTAAGAAATATGAACCGGTTATCGGGTTGTTATTAATTCACCAAGCCAAGAAATTATTTATTCAAAATACTTTATCACTTTTTATCACATTTTTTGTACATTTAAAAGAAGATGGGCGAAAGAATTTTTACGAAAAGTATTCTATTCGTTCTACATACTAGGAACACCGACCATTTCATTTAACTAAAGGATTTATAACTAATATTTAAGTTGTAGATAAACCACATCTGAACACACAACTTCGGTCAGTCTGTTGAAAGCCGATGTTTTTATACGAAAATTTAAATTAAAATGGCGAAATTTGATGTTTCATTTAACGAAAGAACTAACGGCTGAAATATTGATATGTTGTAAATTCATCTTGATTGACGATGTACTCGGTTACATTTTGAAAACTGACGATGCCAAAGTCATCAAATTAGGTCGAATGGTAGTTGGATGTAGAGAAATTCAAATATTCGGTTTTCTTCGGTTATTGTTATTTTTTGGATGCTGAATCTGAATTTGAAGTTCACTAACGAAATTTTCCATGGTCTATGAGATACATGCAAAAAACAGCGAAATTTCCGCACTTTTTTTATTTTTTTGGCCATGACTCCAAAACCGTGCTTCTTATCGAAATTTTTGTTTTATACAAAGTTTAAGAAGATGAAATCTAGTATAAATTTTATATATAGGTTTTTGTTGTAGGACCAATGGGTGAGGAGTTAGAGCAAGCTAACTTTTTGCTTATTTCACAAGAAATATACGATTTCCTCAAAACTAAGAATTCATTATAATCACTTTGAAAGAGCATTATATTTCCTATGTAACTCATGTATGTGAGAAGGTATGCAGCTGTTAAAGCGCACGGAAAGGTGTATTTCAGGCGTAGTATCTTTAGCACATTACATCCTTTTAATTATTTTGATTTCGCTAATTTAACTTTAGCTTGATTAAATTATAAATATAACTTAAGTGTATTTTAGTTATGGAAAAGTATTTCTTCGGGCTTATTCGAATTTTGAGGTTTTGTATTTTTAGATAGGTAGAATTCAAACGTAAATTATTAAAAAAATGTTATAATTGTCAAAATTATAACATATTTATATTATTTACGCTTTGTTGAAGATGTCTAAATGAATGAACTGGCAGAACTACCATATTTCTGAAAGATATTATTTATATACTATGGCAAAAAATGGGATTATAAAATTAATGAAAATAATATAATACAAATAAAAATAAATATCTGCCGCACTGAACTTTAGCTCGTTACATCTTTTAATTTGGCGTAGTTAACTCTATCTTAATTATATTATAAATATAACCTAATTATATTTAAGTTAAGGAAAAGTATTTCTTCGTGCTTATTCGAAATTTTGGTTAACTATTCACAATAAAAATAAAAAGTTAACCCTGCTTTCAAAATTTGAGGGTTTATATTTTTAGGTAGGTAGAACTCAAGAGCAAATTATTAAAATAATATCATATTTATATTATCTAGACTTTGAGGAAGATGAATAAATAAACACATTTCTGAAAGATCCGATGTAAGTTTTAAATAAATAATGTTTGCTAAACAGATACGGTAACGGATCTAGAAGACCCCCAAAGGAGCAGAAGACAGGAGACGCGTGCTTGAAGAAAGAAAAATGAAGACAAAAAAGGAAATAAAAAGGATGCCGATAAACAGAGCGTATAAAGGATCGTTCCGGGTCAGGATTAATGTAATCACTTTTTTCTCCTCAGGACATCTCCTTTGAAGGACTTCTTGTCGGAGCTGCTGGTGACTTCAACCTTTCAGCGCTGGCTGGCGGTGCCGCTGGTTGATGAGCACATCCTCACAAATATTGCGGCAAAGGTTTCTCGTTAGTTGGGATCGAGGATTTATGAGATGGAGGCACCATCACCAATCAGCGAACGGATAGTTTACTTCAGTAGCTTTGTAAAGGGTAGTGTATTTTATAATCAGTGGCGTATTCACGGGAGAAGAAATTCCCCCCACCAAAAATTGAAACAAAAATTACATCTCTTTGAAATATACTAATGCTCGTGAATAACTGTGAATAAATTATGGTCCATAAGGTAAAGTAAAATAATAACACAAAAAATCAACTTGTGAGAAATCGATTTTTTTATCGTGCATCAATAAAATAAATTAATTACTTTTTTTTATTGTTCATATAAATGAACGATAAATCTGGCCAAAAGACCTATCACAATGAATAATAACAAAATACTAATAAAAAATTATATATATAATAGCTCTTAGGATAAATTAATGAGAACAGTTGGGTAATAGGGATTCAATACTACAATATTGGAGCTAAAACATTAGCATAATAATCACTAAATGAAATTATAAATGAACGCAAAATAAATTTTATAGGCAAAGCATTGTTTAGTCACGAGTTCGCGTCCCGGTGCCCAAAGGAGTTTTTAAATCCCCGCCCACACTCCCTGGCCCGGGAAAATCCCCGTATAGCCTTAGAGCGAGGAAGGGAAGGACAAAAAAAAAAGAAAAAAAAAAAAAGACAAAAAGGCAAAGCATTGTAGTGATGGAAAATAAAAATAAAAATATAATAACTGTTAATATATAAAGAAATAAATTGTGAAAAAAATGATATATATCATTGTATGAAAAATGATAAAAATGATATGATGTGTTTGAGATACATATGAATGATATACATATTCACTATTTAATTGGGAATAAGGTCACTTAATTAATTATTTAATAAACTATTGAATGTTCATTTCTTCTGTTTATTGACGTTTCGATCCCCGTATTTTCTTTTTATTAGTCAACCATGGGATCCTCTTTAAAGCTAGAATTTTAAAAAATAGAGCTTCGATCAGGCCAGGGACACACCGACAGTCTCAGCACCGTCCACTAGCACATATATTAAGCTACTCTGTATGTATATATATATATATATATATATATATATATATAGCGAGGAGTATGTCGAAGATAATTATAAAATAACATACATTTCAAAGAAATACAATCTCATGAATAGAAAAATTAGACATTAAGAAAAACAAATTACTTTCTTTATTTCAAAGAGATTCGACTTTAAAAAGTTCGATTTATTATATTTTTTTGTACTTCCGTTGCCAATTCTCTACCCAAATTTCTGTTTCTAACGTGACTTTAATAATGAACGAAGGGATTTAAAGACATTTATGAATTTGTGCGCTTTAAAGATGTGTGAAATATAGTTAAATCGGTTAAAAGCTATTTAAAATTCATTTTAAAAAAACATCGCAAACTTTTTCATATATTTTTATTCAGCTTTAACATTGGATTCTTCAAAAATTAAATTATATTTTGATTGACCTTAAACTTTTTGTAATTTTCTACTAGGCATAAATAGTGCATTAGCTATATTAATCCTATACGGTTAACATTTTTTTTTCCTGTCAAGAAGTTAATGTATTTTTATAATTTTCTTTTATACAAATAAAATACTTTTTAATCTCTATCTCGGTTTTTAAATCGAAATGCAAAGGTCGCGTAATGTATATCTTAAAATATTTTAGGTATACGATTAATCAGCGTGTGCCCAAGTGATAAGCTTTTTAATAGTTTGGAATTTATTCAAGGATATCGGCCACATTAACAAAGACGTTGGAACTTTTTATTTCTAGATCACGACAAGGCCTTCGATTTATCTTGACAGCGTCGCGATATCTGTCAGTGACAGGCAACTGTTACTTCCAGCTACTGTTCACTGATTTGTGGAACAGGCGAAGAATGTAACGAGTATTTTTATTTTTAATTTAATTACAAAATGAATACTTTCTTACAATAGTGGATAACTATGAAAATAGGTTGATTAGCCTTGAGTTTCTATCAATACGCAATAAATAACGTGGCAGTGTATATACCTTTTTGGGCTTTCGGAAGCCATGGATGAATGAGTAATCAAACAGGATTTCATGGAGAAGTGACAAACCCTTATTTTGGTTTTTAAATTTCTGCAATAATCCAGAATCCTTCGCAAAGTCCTCAGTGCTTCTTATAATACGTAGACAGACCATTTTTTTTTTATCGAATTATTAACATCCGCTTGAAACGTCGTGAATAGCTTCATCTCATCGTAATCTACAACTATTTTATTTGCGAAAACTCTTGGAATTGGGACGTTTTCAATCTGGAGGTCGGCAAGCATTGTCTATTTAATTAGGTACTAAAAACTCATTAATATTAATATCCACTTAGTATCTTTGATCATGAAAATGAGAAAAAAATGTGTTATACAAAAATATTGAGCCGTTTGGAAAATATAACCTCGTTATTTTGACATGTTCTGGGTGTTCGAAGATCACTCATCCAGCTCCTTTTTAGTCTCCTTCTGATGGGGATGTCAATAAAAAAAAAAAACACTCGTAGTTCATGAGATTTGTTCAATACGGATTAAATTATATTTGTGATCTCTAGATGTGCTTAAAATATGAGAAAAATGTAACTGTAATATTTTAATTATTTAGTCAATTCTAAATATATAGTCCGTGGTACATACAGACTGTTACATATCGAATTATTAACATCCGCTTGAACCTACAACTATTTTATTTGCGAAAACTCTTGGAATTGGGGAGTTTTCAAGTTGGAGATTGGCAAGCATTGTCTATTTAATTAGGTACTAAAAACTCATAAATATTTTGCGATCCACTTGCATCGTAAGATAATTTGATTACAAAATTGAAAAAACAAATGTGGCATACAAAAATATTGATCCGTTTAGAATATATAAAATCGTTATTTTGACATGTCCTGGGTGTAGGTCACGCCAAACGGACCAATATTTTTGAAGGCCACCTTTTTTCTTGATTTTGTGGTCTAAATATCTTACGATTCAAGTGGAAATAAAATGGGTATTTACTTGTTTTTAGTACCTGATTAAATATACAAAGTTTGGCGATCTCCTGATTTAAAACGCCCCAATTCCGAGATTTTTTTGTAAATAAAATAGTTTTAGATTACGATGAGATGAAGCTATTTTATGAAGTTTCAGTCGGATGTTAATCATTTGATAAAAAGGGTTAATTCTTATATACTGGGTTTAGCCCTAGTGACGTGGTTGAGAGAGGAGTGCAGGGAACTCCTGGAGTCATACTTTTCGCCAAGTTTTAAATATTGTATATAGGTGTGCATGTGTTCTTTTTATTTATTTATTTTTAGGTTATTTTATTCTTATTTATTGTATATATATTATTTTTCTGTATAATTTATTTTATTTACTGTACATAGAGTGTGAATGTGATCTGTGAACACTATTTTAAATGTCCTTGAGACAGATTGTAATATATTTCAATAAATAAGCTTACGAAAAAAAAAAAAATTCTTATGTATTTGATTTGGCTCAATCCAGGTACCTATCATTCTATTAGATTCTTTTAAAATTTGTTTAAAATTGGTAGGGAACCCATTTGAGTGGTCATACTAGATTTTTTATTTGAATAAGGTGGCATTAAGTTTTTGCTATCTTTTGTTGACAATTCCTTCAATTTATTGCCAAGTTAATTTATCAATTTGGTTAAATTTTACTATGTATATGTCAATAAAACATCTAAATGTTTTATTCTGTAGCGTTTATTTAAAAGATCTAAAGTAACATAAATAATAAATAGCTCTATAAGTTAAATAACTACTAGATTCATGCGCAGGAACAAGACTCCTCTTTGCATCCTTTCATTTGGGCAACACTAGTATTGAATAGATTAACTTATAACTGATAAAAATATATTGTACAATTGAATAATCATACTTCGTCAAATGCATTAGAGGTAAGCATAGATCAATTTAATTATACAATGTGGTATTAAATAAAATAATTACTAGGTGCGGATGAAATCACTCTATAAATTACGAAATACATTCTTAGAGATTGTAATAGCAAAAAGGGAAATAATAAACAAGGACATTAAATACATAAGGTAATCTATAACGGATAAGGTCATGTTTTAAACGAACAAGAAAACCCAAGTGTATTGGTATGCCAATTGATAATCGATAATTCGCAACATTGCTACTTAACCAGAACCATTATAAAGTAATTAAGAGAAAAGATAAATGAGTTCTAAATTGGATTGTGTAAGCTCGATGCGATTAAGATTATTGTAAAAGTATTAATCAGACGGAATTCAAGATAATTGCATGGTCAGCTTGAGTACGACATTAACATATACAAGCATGGATTGTATGTAACAATTAGGAACTTATCATGCCATTATAATATTGTTAATAATATAACAGTTATATATTTAAACTGTGACATAATTTACTCCTATTTCATTGTAGTTGTTACTTTTTTCGTGTGGGATGACTATCAAATTTTTTATACATAAACAAAAACAAGTTCAATGCCTTTTTCTTCTCTGTTTCTCGGCGGATTTCATATTATCAATAAAAAAAAAAAAAAATTCGAAACTATAAATATAAATATGTCAGTTTGTTAAAACCACTAATATTTGAAAGTTCTTCACCGATCTCTACGAAATTTGACTGCAAAGAATTCACATTTATTTTTATATAAATTTCATTACTATCTGGCCTTTCGTTTCGAAATAGTGTGTCTGTAACAATTTTATTGGAACCAAAGTGTTCTCTTTAGAGCCCGGTTAATTTATGTATATAACAAACTTAATGATGAAAACAATTAATAATGAATCCAGAATTTTATTCGTGAATAGCTCGAAAAGTATAGTTATCATGTCTGACACGACATTTTTTTTTTTTTTCATTTTTTCGGTTTCTATTTTGTAGGAGAACTCAGTTATGACAAATTTAAATTCGACATATAGCTGTAGTATTAATACAA